ATTTTTATTGTTAATGGACTCTATACTCCACACCACCCATTTAGAATGTCAGTTCAATGACAATAAGGATCTCATCTGTATCATTTACTCATATACATGTGAGTAATAAATGAACATAATAGGCCCTTCATAAATGTTTATTGAATGGATACATGAACAAATATGTGTTTTGATAGGTCAAGAAAGGTGGTTGAAAAAGAACTACTTTTGGGAAATCTCTATTTTAGTACTGATTATAGATAACATTTGCCAAGAATGGGTATTAATATATTAAGGGTTATCTTTTTTCAATCTTCACAACCCTGTCATAATATAAACCCTGAAAAGAAAAATGGGGTCGCAACTTGATCAAATCTACCCCAGAGCCAAATAAGAGATGAGATCCATGCCTCGACTGATCCCATAGCAGCTATGCTTCACTACCATATATGCCATTGGATCCTCTTTACTTGCCAGATATGTGCGACAGATTTGGTTTTGAGCTTCCTAGAACCCCACAGACACCTGCAAATAAATCTTTTACATGGTCTACTGGAACCACAGTTAAAAATAATTTTCCAGGAGAAGCCCTGTATTTGGAGTGCTTAGACTGGAAGTATGTCCCATGATCTTCCTAATGGAGAAACTTCATAAAGGATGAAGAAAACCACACCATGAATGACATTACTACCATAAATGGAAGCATGAGTTTCTAGCATCGATAACACAAATCAGTGTAAGTCGATTGCATTGATTCAAGCTGTGGTTCAGTGAAAGCATTTCTACAGAGTAAATACAAAGATCTTAATAGCCTCATTTAATCCATTGATAAAATTTAAGCTATACTGATGAATGAAAAGGATTCATGTCATTTGGGCAATCTTCCCTCAATATTATTTCTTGCAACTACTTTGCTGATTGATATTGGTTGGCAGAAATTATGATGCATATATTGTATGGTGAGTAACAGACCACAGACATTGGGCATTACTAATTAAGGACATATCCATGGGTTTTAAAACATGCATAATTTTGGCATCTTCTCAGGAGCCAAGACACCTAACCAGAACACTTACCTGAACCGGCTAACATTATACCTATACAGACAAGTACAAAAGGGAGTATCTATAGCCGACATCTAGACTTCCTCAGAAAACAACAACAACAACAATAACAACAACAACATAACAACTCTGGTTTTATCTAATATGTGAACAGAAGTCTAACTGAAAGGCTAACATCATGTCTCAGTCATAGTCCAAAATCATTAAACAATAATAAATAAAAACCCATAAAATATTTAACTTTAGGCTGTAAAATGTGCTCCTAGGTAACTACATAATTGTTGGGCTCTAATTCAAGGTCAGTGAATTGGAAAAGCATGTCATTTGTAATGGCTGGTTTTAAGCCATTCATTCTTACCATCATTAGTACGTGAGCGTCCATGACAATATCACACCACAAGCAGTAGTTTCACCTTCTTTTTTTACAGACTAGTGAACAAAGCCCCAGAGACCTCATGTAAATTAGCAAAGTGACAGAGGCAGTGAGTGAGAACCTAGGAATGTTGCACCCTGCCTGAGATTGTAACCACTAAAAACATTCTGCCACGCTATTTGCAACTTCTGTCAGATAGATGAAATTCATAGATTTTTGGAGCTAGTAAGAATTTTGGGGTCATTTGCTTAGCTTTCTTATTTTGTAGATGAACTAAAACAGAGTAAACGGTTGACTTCAAATCCATATCCTACTTAGTGATAGAATGAAAAATAAAACCATTCCAGCATTTTTCTAAATAAAATTTCTTTATACATAAAAATCATCTTAAATTAAGAAAACATAGGGCATAAAAAAAGTATCACTTAATATTAAATACTGATGATGTATGTAAAGGATATTTCTCCATGTAAAAATGCAAACTGTCATCTTTTCAAACACTGATAAGTACATAAATCCCCAATGAGAAGCAGCTGGTCAGCCAACCATCTTCAGGTGACATCTCTAGAAGCAGGACTGTTAACCCTGTTTACAGCAGCCCATTCTGTTTGGGGAAGAATTCTGTTGTTGTTTTTTTTTACAGTTTTTGTTTGTTTTGTTTATTTAAATGAATCCCATTTAATATTACTTTAAAAATCTTTCCCATGTTGGGCCACAGTAGACCCAAATGGCTCAGGACCTCCTTCAGAGTCATGGCTATAAATACTAACCTCCCTTCCATCTGACATTGATTCAAATATTTACAAAAAATTATCATCTCTAACACTTCTTAGTCTTTTCTTCTCAAAACAAGGCATACATAATTCTTTCAAACTTTCAAATTCCCTCATTATCATGCTTGCTCTAGACAGTTATACTCAGGTTCATCAATGTCCTTCTTCAACTTGTGGACTCAGGTCACAGTGTTTTGGGGGTGTTCTACTCAGAGTGCTGAACTAGTTTATCGCACCCTCTCTGTTCAATACATCAACATAGGTTAATGTCATTCACGTTCTTTTTTTTTTCAGATGTAGTGTTCAATAATTTATCAGTTGTGTATAATACCCAGTGCTCATCACATCCCATGTCCTCATTAATGCCCATCACACAATTACCCCATCCCCCCACCCACCTCCCCTCCAGCAACCCCCAGTTTGTTTCCAATAGTTAAGAGTCTCTCATGGTTTTTCTCCCTCTCTGTGTCATCCACATTCTAATTACACACTGTCATCACACTGGTGACACTTACCTTCTCAACTTGAGTCTATGACTTTTTTTTGAACAACAAAAATGTGTCCGTTATCTTTTCAATTTACTTCGCTCTTAACTAATACTGATTTTTTAAAAATATACTCTGATGGCTTTAGAATAGAGAAAATAAATTTTAAAACCTCACCAAAGATTTAGAGGAAATTAAGAATAGCAATAAAAAATAGGTAAATAGTTCAGTACCTGTGGAGGGCGAGGGAGGGGGGAGAATGTTAAATCTCTCTTTGTCACTTTAGCTGAAGACTTGACTGTGTGCAAAGGAGTAGGAGCCAGTATTGGGGAGGGGGAGGGGACTGAAAATGGAAGTAAAAATGAGCTCAATTGTTAGAACAAGAACTTAGAGGAAACAGGACCTGCCCTTTCATCCTGTTTCTGTTTTATACTTTAAAATTTTGTTAAAATAAAAGTTTCCATATGGCTTTGACGTTTCTTAAAAATCCCATCTCTAAAACTAATGATGTAATGTATGGGGATTAACATAAGAATAAAAAAGAAAAAAAAAAGAAAAAAAAATCCCATCAAAATCAAATAAAATATTGTTTTAAAATAACCTTTACTTATTTAATAAATTAATAGTGTGTGTTACATTTTTTGCTGATAAAAATAAAATCACTCTCTGTCTACTATTTAGGTACATCTGAAGACAGCCAGTGTTCTCTGGGTTCACCATCAGGGATAGATTGTAGAACTTACCATAAATTCAAGTGGAAAATATAGGTTTATTTATCAGGATTACTTAAACTGGCTAAAATAACTATGAAAGAGTATACTAAGAAATATCCAAAGAAGCAATTATATTTCACAGTGTCCTCAAATCACATTAAATTTATATTTTAAGTACCAATGAATGTTCTTTTTGATTGGAAGAGCCCTGTGAATGATAGACACTTTTGTGCTGAGCAAATGAGCAGTTTCCCCTACTTCTCTTTATATGACTGTCTGTTCCTTCCCTATTATCTAAGTCAACATAATGGAGAGCCTCATAAAATGTGAGCCATATGCCTCATCTTTCAGTCCATGATTTAAATTTGGTCAATGATGTCTTTATTGTTTAAAAAAAAAAATCTCACCAATTCAGTATATTTTGTTCCTGTTTAATTTTTCTTCCATTGCTCCTTGAAACATACTTTTTTCAATTAAATCTATATTTCTGTGTAAAGAAAGTGTCAGTTTCCTTTGGCCCCAAAACAACAGTGTGTGTGTGTGTGTGTGTGTCCACCATTAATACCTGGGTAGACTGTTCACAAACAAAGGCATTCTTTCCTTGCCATCGTTGTTTGTCTGATAGACTTGTAAAAGAGTGCCAGAAGCAGGCCTACTTCTTTTCTAGGACACCCATTTTTCAGAAGAAAATGTTCTTTACTTCACTTTTGGTCTTCATGAGGACATATGCAAGCAGCCCCATATGTCTCACTGTAGTTGCATTAAACAAGGGCTTCCTTAACAGGTACTAGCCAAGACTTATCTTTCTGAGCACCCCTCAATTCCTAATTCCTCTCCCTGTAATGTTAGGTGGTGAACAGAAAACAGCTATTGCCAATGTCTCCATTTGTTCTCTGACAACCAAAACGAAAAAAAAAATTAAAAATAATAAAAAAATTAAAACCTTGTTGCGATGCTTGATGACCACTAGCAGAGAAAGAGGAGGTAGAAAAACTAGTAAGTCTTTGCAAGGAAAAGAAAGTTATCTACACCACACAAGAAAGGCCCCTAAAAGGTTATAAAGTAGTTTCTATTCTTTCAGGTGTATTTTTTTTCTTAAATACAGAATTCGTAAATGTTCTGCCTGCCAAAACTAAAGAAAAAAAAAAGCCCAGAAATAACTCACTTTCCACTTCAAATTAATAGTGATATATACCTCCAATATCGTTACCCACGTCATAAGTATTAATAAAGAAAATATGTTTAGCCATTATGCTTCATGTATAAATTTGAACTAGAACATTGAACTATGTTACCGTTACCATAGTGTTTAAAAGGACAAAAATCACTTTAAGCAAATAAAAACGGTATACAGACTACTGGAAACATATCACATATAACATAGATAATAGTTTGATAGAGAAAAATGTAGAAGCCTAACAGTGGATTGTTGATATGCCATTACTTCTCCCAGTCACTTTGGGGCTCACAAACCAGGGGAACTACTTAATTAAATGCATGATTAAATAAAACAAAACTAATTTCCTTCTTGTTATAAAAAAAATAAGTCTGAAGACACAAAATGGTATTTCATTTCATCCTGAAAATATAATTAAAATAAATTTAGTATTTACCTCATATGATTAAAAATCCACTGGACACTTTAGAAGCACAAGCAGCACATGATACAGCGATACAGCCTTCCCGTGGTACTCTTCAATCTCTGTAAATATAAGGAAGTTGAAAGAGTGCATTTAGAGCAATATATGCCTTGGTAAAATGATGCTGATCAGCTATGAAATGTTTATAATCACTCCAGGATGGCTTTTAAAAAGTACCTCCCTACATATTGCTGTTATCATAGCTTTAAATGCACAATCTAGTGATGAAAATTATGTCATCTGGAACTTCCAAGACACAAAAATAGACTCCAGATAATAATACACCACAAAAAAATAAAAATAAAACCACTTAATTGCATGCTATTTTACTGGGAGAGGCTGTAGTACTATGAAAAGTAAAATACTTGTAATTTAAATATTTTCTTATTATATACACATTACCAACATAAATATTTTTCTAGTCATAACACTGAGTTTTAAGTAGTAGTGGGTGTCAGCTCCATTGTTTAGTTTTTCCCACTGACTTTTTTACTGTATTTTAGCAAGTGTTTTTATTTCATGTCTCATAATTTTCCTGGAAAAGATTCATAGATTGTGAGAAATGACTGTCATTCATTTGATAAGTTGATAAGCAATATGTTGGCATTTAAGTGAATTCTGCTTCTAGATAATATACACTATAGACAGTAAAAAAAAAAAATAACTCAAACTTTCACAACCTGTTTCAATTATTTGTAGATGAAACTTTGTACATATTTTCTCCCATCTACCTGCTAAAAGAGAAATAAAGTGATAGGCAAAATATATAGGTATTTTGCTGCTGTCCATTCTTACTTCTCCATTTCACCATACACAAACACATACTATTTAGGTACAATAGGAACTGTATTACATTCCTCTCCTACATCTCCCTCACAATAAGCCTCATTCATGTACTGTTAAATTCAGGCACAAATCTCAGTGAATCAGCACCATGGACATCTGCTCTCTACCCTCTAAACTCTGAAAACCTTTAATCCAGTAGGTGACAAAGAATATCAGGGTAGGAAAAGAGATGGTGGGAAATGGTGCTCCTAACTGAGAAGTATAATTTTGTAAAGGTACCTGTAGCAGGTTAGAACAGAAAAAAATGAGCATCTTCTTAATCCATTGCAAGAGTGACCAAAAGAACCCTTAATTAAAGGGCTGAATATTATGCAAATTACATTACCAACTCAATTTTCCTAAAGGCTACTATTGGAAACGAAATACACGTATTTAATATCTGTAGATATAAATATGTATATATTTACATAAATACATATTTCTATTTAACATAGTTGGATAGATAGGTGAATAGATAAAAAGGACAGATAGATAAACTATATCCCTCACTATGTGCTTGTCTTTTGTCAGTTATTGGATATTAGAACTCACTTTGAAGAAAAGATGCTTTTCCAGCCAAATAAATTCTGTATAGTGAATAACATGTCCCATTAAATTCCAGAAAGATATTGGAAGCTACATTTACATTAGGGAGAAACAAACTGTGAAGGAAAGTGTTGACCATTTTTGGCAGGAAAGAGAGTATTCTAATGTTCAGAATAGTGTGATACTAGCCAGAAAAATAATGAAATACCAGGAATTGCTGCACAACACTTTATGAATTTCTAGACATTTTGCAGAACTATCCTACTTTCCAGAGAACACATCAACTAATTCAATACCTCATCATCTTCTCTGTATTCACAATTGTTTGCCTTGTTTTCATTTTGTTATTTATAATTCTATAGTAAACCACCCTAAATTTTATTGAAGGCTCATTGTGGTAAGTGCTGTTATAGATGCTTTCATATGCCCATCTCTAATCAACAAGACATATACAGTGTCACAATTAGCAGAGAGTAGCCATTGTCTTATACACCATATGTCTCTGCATAAAAATCCTAAGTCAGAAGTGGCCTGTTCCATAAAATAAAGTGTTCTTTCCAACTAATTATAATTTTTTAAAGATTTATTTATTTATTTGAGAGAGAGTGAGGAGTAGGGGGAGGGGCAAAAGGAGAGCAAGAGGAAGAGAATCTCAAGCAGACTGCCCACTGAGTGAGGAGCCCAATATGGGGCTCAAACTCATGACCCTGAGATCATGACCTGAGGGTATACCAAGAGTTTGACCCTCAACTGACTGAGCCACCCAGGCACCCCTCCAACTAATTATAAATTTTAAGTTCTGAATATTAAAAAAATTAATATCTAAAGTATTTATTGAATAATTATAAATGTATGTGAAATATGAAAATTACCAAACAAAATCCACTATCTAGTTACCTGAAACTTGCCTTTTAGAATTCCAGTGGAGTGGGGGAATGATCCTAGAACCTCACAAGTCCTTTTGCCTATGATTACTTACATTCAAAAATAAAATTTATGACATCTTTAAGGAAGAAGGAATGTGTATTATCTCTTCAACCCATACATTGGAATTTCCTAATTTTTCTGAAAGAAGATAATTTTAATTAAGAACAAATACTGTTTGAAGGAGATAAAAAATAAGCTATGATGGTAAAGTAAATGGTATGAATGCAAAAGAAGGCACTAGATAAAAGGATCAGAGAGAGACTATTTTGCTAAATGGAAGGAAATAAAGTTGGGAACAGACAAGGTAATGGAGAAAGATGGGGGAAATGTGTTGATAAAACCTATAAAAGTGTATGTGTCTGTGGCGTATTTTCTGGGGAGGGGGGAAGGAGTTGAAGGAGTACAATTGTTTAAGTAGAAAGTCCTTCAAAGTTTCCTAGATTATTAATGGAACATTGGAGGAAAGAAATGCAGTCATAATTCCTAAAAACTAAATCAATGATTACAATAATGGGCATCACGTTCTACACCTAATGGTAACATATAAGAGGAGAAGGCAGGCCCAGATGTGGTCCCAGATCATGGGACTCACTCATCTTAATCTGGGGAGATCTTTTATACCACAATGATTTGGAAAACAGCAGAACGGTATTAGTAATAGAATATACTGTTCAGAGAAAGAAGAGGGAGAATATAAAAAATCAGGTTCATAAGAATTGGTGGTAGAGGCGCCGCTGAGCTGGGGACAAAATTCAAAACAAAGAATTTGAGGAACTATACTGTCAACATTTTGACTGAAGTACACAATTTGAGATAAGTGATAATGTATAGAACACAAAAACTGAGGACTTGATGAATGTGTATTTGCAAGCATTTAGTAGACAAAAGAAAGCCCATTCGAATATAAAATAAAAACAGCCCACATGCTTAGGACATTCAATAAAAATCATACCTAAAGCGGGCGATACCTAAACAAAAACCCTTAGAGTCAACCTGGAAATAGTTCATAAAACATACACAAAATTTTTAATTTTTTTATTGTTATGTTAATCACCATACATTACATCATTAGTATTAGATATAGTGTTCCATGATTCATTGTGCATAACACCCAGTGCTCCATGCAGAAAGTGCCCTCCTCAATACCCATCACCAGGCTAACCCATCCTCCCACCCCCTCCCCTCTAGAACCCTCAGTTTGTTTTTCAGAGTCCATCATCTCTCATGGTTCATCTACCCCTCCGATTTCCCCCCATTCATTCTTCCCCTCCTGCTATCTTCTTTTTTTTTTTCCTTAACATATATTGCATTATTTGTTTCAGAGGTACAGATCTGAGATTCAACAGTCTTGCACAATTCACAGCGCTTACCAGAACACATACCCTCCCCAGTGTCTATCACCCAGTCTTCCCATCCCTCCCACCCCACCCCCCTCCAGCAACCCTCAGTTTGTTTCCTGAGATTAAGAATTCCTCATTCAGTGAGGTCATATGATACATGTGTTTCTCTGTTTGACTTATTTCGCTCAGCATAACACCCTCCAGTTCCATCCACCTCATTGCAAATGGCAAGATCTCATTCCTTTTGATGGCTGCATAATATTCCATTGTATATATATACCACTTCTTCTTTATCCATTCATCTGTCGATGGACATCTTGGCTCTTTCCACAGTTTGGCTATTGTGGACATTGCTGCTATAAACATCGGGGTGCACGTACCCTTTCGGATCCCTACTTTTGTATCTTTGGGGTAAATACCCAGTAGTGCAATTGCTGGATCATACGGTAGCTCTATTTTCAACTTTTTGAGGAACCTCCATACTGTTTTCCAGAGTGGCTGCATCAGCTTGCATTCCCACCAACAGTGTAGGAGGGTTCCCCTTTCTCCACATCCCTGCCAACATCTGTGATTTCCTGACTTGTTAATTTTAGCCATTCTGACTGGTATGAGGTGGTATCTCATTGAGGTCTTGATTTCGATTTCCCTGATGCCGAGCAATATTGAGCACTTTTTCATGTGTCTGTTGGCCATTTGGATGTCTTCTTTGGAAAAATGTCTGTTCATGTCTTCTGCCCATTTCTTGATTGGATTCTTGTTCTTTGGGTGTTGAGTTTGATGAGTTCTTTATAAATTTTGGATACTAGCCCTTTATCTGATATGTCATTTGCAAATATCTTTTCCCATTCTGTCGGTTGTCTTTTGGTTTTGTTGACTGTTTCTTTTGCTGTGCAAAAGCTTTTTATCTTGATGAAGTCCCAAGAGGTCATTTTTGCCCTTGCTTCCCTTGACTTTGGTGATGTTTCTAGGAAGAAGTTGCTGCGGCTGAGGTCGAAGAGGTTGCTGCCTGTGTTCTCCTTTAGGATTTTGATGGATTCCTGTCTCACATTGAGGTCTTTCAACCATTTGGAGTCTATTTTTGTGTGTGGTGTCAGGAAATGGTCCAGTTTCATTCTTCTGCATGTGGCTGTCCAATTTTCCCAACACCATTTGTTGAAGAGACTGTCTTATTTCCATTGGACATTCTTTCCTGCTTTGTCAAAGATAAGTTGACCATAGAGTTGAGGGTCCATTTCTGGGCTCTCTATTCTGTTCCATTGATCTATGTGTCTGTTTTTGTGCCAGTACCATGCTGTCTTGATGATGACAGCTTTGTAATAGAGCTGGAAGTCCGGAATTGTGATGTCGCCAGCTTTGCTTTTCTTTTTCAACATTCCTCTGGCTATGCGGGGTCTTTTCTGGTTCCATACAAATTTTAGGATTCT